CACAGACACAGGCACACACACGTTCGTTGAATACTTATGTACACACATGCGCGAGAAAATGCAACAGAGAAAAAAATTATTATGAAAAGCAAGAGAATAGAGTAAAAGAAGGTCTTTTTGTCGCTGGCTTTTTTTCTTTCTCTCTTCTACTATTGTTTCATTTGTTGCGCTTGACAAGTCGTTTCTACGTCTATTATAGTACCTCTAGTTTTTTTCTTTTCCAATTGGTCAATTGATAACAATCTGTCTAATTATGAGATTTTCAACTGTGTTATGGATCTTTTACAAATTCGAAATGTTTGCAGTTCTTTTCTTTTTTTCCTGCATTTCGAAGCTACTGCTGTTCTTGTTGTTGTTTGTTTCTCTGGGGGTATCGATAGAAGGAGTGGCAAACAGAACGCGAGAGGCAAAGAAAAGAGTGGGACGAGAAAAAAAAACGAAAGACTTGATGAAGATCGATTGTGGAAAGAACCTCTTTCTTGTTCTTTTTCGCCTTCTTTCTTAACGTGGGTCCAATCGACGCCATACTACACCAATACAATACTAAATAATCAATTCAATCATCATCATCAATACGAACGAACAAACGACTAGTACTAGACACAATCAGCGAAAAAAAAAGAAAGAAATAGCTATACATTTTCTTTTCTTTAGGCACATTTCGAAAGACTTTCATGTTATTGAGTAAAAATGCTGTCAGAAGAAAACCTTATCAATATTTTTCATAATAAACGTTTACCAATGAGTCAAAATAATTAAGTTATTTAAGAATCAGTAGGAAAATAATGATATCATTAGTCAAACATAAGAAAAATATGAAGAATAATACTCATGGATGAAGCCAAGATATATTGCACACATAATTCAACATCATAGTGCAAGAAAATAAGCGACCGGAAGAGTCATCGCCATCATTATATCAGTTAATCGTCATCGACAAGCAAGAATATTCCAACGTTTACCCATATGTCGTCATGACGTTATGTTGCGTGAAATTTCATTGAATAACATGAATATATTCCATATACCTCTTGTCATTTTACTTATATTATTCTTATCTAGTTTATATTTCAATCATTTTTCTTATTATTTTTTAATTGATTTCAATTAACAAATAATATTTCAATTATCCTATTCGAATTTTGTCTTATACTAGATGTCATACATCTACGATCTTTCATTTCTTTTCTTCTATTTATGAATAACATTTCAAGTTTAACCAATGTAATTATATTGCTAGATAGTGAAAAATTGTTTTTCTATATAGGGGGGCATTTTATTAACAGTGCGTGACCAGGATGTCCGATTAGAGATATTTTCATCTCCAAACAATTTCATTGTAATGTCAATAGGATTAAAGCAGGGCACAGAAAGGAACAACCTGGTACTAGGTCGTTCATTGTGGGAGATACAAAGTCATAGTGGGTTTCGTTCTCCTATCCTCGGCCATCACTTCTAGCACTCCAAGAATAAAAACACTTTTTGTCGAATTTTTAGCTCCTTTCACTCCTTCTGAAATTCGTCCATACAACATCCCTCCTATTTTTGAAACTTGTCCATGCAGTGCTCCTGTCTTCAGTGCTGAGTTACGCCGCTGTTTCAATATGAATAAATGCAGAAAAAAATTCTGAAAATTCTTACTTTTCTATATCATCTGTAGAATAGATAATAGAGGTAGGCATTGATGTTGATGTTGTCATTGGTTTTATTAACGAGATATTCCTTAATCTTGTAATCTGTCCGTCTTATTCTATTGCAATCAAATGATCGACATGATTATTTGTTTCTCTTCTCAACATCATCATTATCATCATCAACATCATCGTGATTTTCTGCTTTTTTTTTTCTCTTCACAATTACTTGCTTTCTGTTCTTTCCCGATGTGCATAACATTAACTTGATATGATCGCATGCGTCGGTGGTAGCATCCCTATTGTATACGTATGTGTCTTAACGAATTCTATTGACCTTTTCATGTGTTCTGAATATTGTGATCCGGCTGATGATACTAGGTGGTAGTCTAGGTTCTGTCTTGTAGAAGAGATGTATAAACGAGCACCATACGGAATCAAAGCAGCACAAACAAAGAACGGACGCAAAGAGTCAGAGATATGCAGCACATTTTGCCGAAAGCAACTATCGTTATGGTTGTGATGGTAGATGATAAGATAATATAGACAACTGTTAACACTTCTCTTAATATGAATTATACATAAAAGAAATGAACTAGAAAGAAAAGCGTTGAACAAAATACCTGATAAACGATGAATCAATGTTTTCATCCATGAGATAAGATCATGAAGACGGATTTTTATTGAATAGATATAAATGTAAAGTCAATACTGCAATAGACTAATTTGTATAAATATTGAAGATTCATTCAATACTAGAATATTTTGTTGTTATGCATTATTTCTGTGAAAAAATAATATTTACATGGTAGATTTTCTCTTTTTGATCAGTTCAATTTTCTATTCTAATAATTTTTATGAGAAGTATTCATAGTAGATCAATGAATGAGATTTAATCTCAGAAAAAATCTATTGAGCAAACAATTCTATGTGAGAATATGGTAAAAATTATACTCATGATTTCAATTGAAAATAAACAACAAATATTTTGATTGAGATTTTCTCTTCTCTAAATAGAGATTTCACTATTGAACGAATAAGCCTTCTTTTCACAAATTTTGTTAATATTTCGCAATGATTGATGGTACGTATCTTTCTATTACATATTTAATCAGAGTTAAAAACTCTTTCACTTTTATATCCTTATAATTAGTATCACAAAATTTTCAACACGAACATGAATTTGATTTCGAATTCTCATAATTAATTGAATAACAGTAGTTAATTCAAAAAACTATATACATTTTGTACTATAGTATAGTGGTGGATCTACGATTTGGGGAAAGCGGAGCGATCATAGTTACAAACCGTGTTTTGGAGTTCATTGGAAATTGTGCCAATCCACTTTTGGACGTTTTCTGTTGAGAAAATTTGAAAAACATTTGAGATTGGAGGAATGATACTTCCAGTGTCTTCTTCTTCTTCTTCTAAATCTACTACTGTAATATCATGAAGTGATGAGAAAAATTTTCTTTTTCTATGCATTCTTTCTACATCGTTTCGATGGTTAGATAACGTTTTACGTTTATTAAGAAGTGTACTTACGAGGAAACCAGGCACAAGTGATTTAGAAGTCTTGTGCTGATCTATTTTTCATAAGTAAGAGTGATTTCCGCACCAGCATTGAAAAGAGATGGGCGTCAGCTCAATAACTCAACAACAGTAACTGTTGATGCCCTGTGATTTTGAGAAATTCAAAGAATGGAACGACGGATGTCTTTCTATTTGATACGATATAAGGCAACATTATTTTTTAAACCCAGCATCTGCGCGAAATATTCAAAAACAAAATGCATAAAAATGGTGTTCCGTTTCAATGTCATTTTGGTTTTGACATGTTGTTTCGGTAGAAGACCTTTAAAACTACAGTTCAAGATGCGATACAGGTGATTATCTTCTCATATCTTAATGTTGGACAAAAAGAAATGAGTATCTATTTGGTCAAATTATATAGAATTCTATTAATTTTTAGCAAATTTTCTAACGGTTTATCAAAATTTTCTTTAAACAAAACATTGTTTTCATTCTTCCTTTTTTCTAATTTTTTGCGAAGATAATGGGCTTCAACACAATTGTGTCACATATAGTATTAGAAAAAAAGATGTCTGGAGTTCTCCTCTTTCGACAGCTGAAAACTGCAGGTCGCTAACTATTGCCGCTATCGAGCTGTTCAGATCACCCTCAATCCTCTTTAAATTCTAGCGCGCATATTAAATAAAGGTCCATTGGCCTTTCTTCTCGAGACACGAGTATTTTACTAGGTTTATTATTTATAACAAGAGATTTGCCGAAAATTCACATGACAGAATTTTAATATAAAATTTTCTCTACATATGGATCTCCTAATCTTTACAGTGATATGAATATCACAATCAAAATGAATACTTCTTCCTCGAGATTGTGACTCTTCAGAAAAAGTCGATTTTCCTTACATGTGGTATTATGAAGGCGTTTTTTGAAAATTTACTATTTCAAGAAAGAAGAATTCGTTGTGTTTGTGACATTTAAGTCACTATAAGGTTATGAAATCTATTTGTGGGGAACATTATATACCAAAATTCTGTACTTGGAACTTTCGATAAATCTCTTGTTAGAATTGACAAAACTTAGAAAGGTGCTCATAAGTTCCGAAGAAAGGCTAATGAGTTTTTACCTAGTCTTAGTGGGTTCTACTTATAAATAATATATTAGCACAAAAGCTTTGAATCATTTAGAGTGACTTTCTCATGAGAAACTCGTAAATGATTAGAAAAGATTTTTCGATTTTTTCAGCTAATTTCAAAGAAAAGCTTCACAATTAAGTGTTGTCTATTTATTAGAGTGTACTAAAAAAATCATGTATTTTCATCTATCAAACCCTTGAATAGAAAAGTTCACATTGTTCGCTGATTTTGTCTAATGAATAGCTTTATTCTTTTTTTTTTGTTTTGCCTAACTTAAATCCTAGTATCAAATGCTTTAATACTAAAGTATAATACAAAAAATAACGACTTTGTTTTTTGAAAACCAAGTTCATTAACGTTTATTTACAAAATAAAGCTGATTTTTGAGAACTGATTTTTCAGCTTTCAGTTTTTTGTTATAAAAGTACTTGAAAAAAAAACAACAGACACTTGAAGTGAAGAGTTATTTACTGTTTTTGTAAGAGCGTGTTGCAATTGATGTTAAGTTTGGAATCGAATTTCAATGAATAGTTAATATATACGTAATAACTCTCTTCTTTATCTCTGCTTCCCACACTTTTCTCATCAACAAATGTGTAAAATGGAGGCGTTAACAAGTGTAATATTTAAATATCAGGGTTATCAAAACGTCTCGACATTTATATGTGCTATTCATTGTTCATTAATGATCTTCTTATTTTAGAAAATGTATTTAACAATAACACCAAATCTTAATGAATTTTTTTGCATTACTTTCATTCTATTGTTATCAATATTTATTGATAAAAGTAAATTATTTTGAATAACTGGTTAGAATTTCTTTTATTTTTCCTTTCTGTTTATTCAGCATCTGCATCTGCTGGTTATTGTTATCAATGTAATTCGAGAAATCCATTATGTCGTATTGATGTTAATGCAACACTTAAAGTAGATGGAACGCCATGCAATGGACAATGTTATACACGTATAAATCGTGCTGATAAAAATACACTTTCCCGAGGTTGCTCATGGGAATTTGGTTTTATGAATCCACAAGAACCAAATACTCTTATACTTGAAGGAAATTCTGTTTGGATTTTTTGTGATACACCTTTGTATGTTTATTTTTTTTCTAATGGATTATTTATTATTAGTTTATGTGAAATTTTTAGTTGCAATGTCGAAGCAACAGCTCTATTAAATAGTAAGTTTTATTTTATGATGGCACAATTAGGATGAATTATTTGATTTGTTTTCTTTTCTTTTTTTTTAGCTGTGTGTTTTCAACCTATTTGCAGTTTTCTTAGATTTCCTGAAGATTGTCGATTACCTAATGCAGATATAACATGTGGACGATTTTGTGGTAATTTATTATGTGGTTCAAGACCAATACGTCGTCGTAACCGTAACCGAAATCGTAATCGTAATCGTATTCGTAGTCAAAATCGCAATCGAAAAAGCTAAATTGAAAGAATATTTTTTTGTTCTATATTGAATTTTTCAAGCGATAAAAAAATAATGATTGACTTCGACATAGTTTTCTGTTGTTATTCTTAATAGATCGATTTTAAATTATATTTATGAAAATACAAGTAAGGGTATCATTGTATTGAAGTTAAATAATATTTTAAAAAATTTTGATTTGTAATAAATTTGACATATTGTCTTTTTAGTAATTTCTCTGATTGCAAGAGAAATATATATATATATATATATATAGTCATTATATACCTAAAATAAAGTCAAGAACATTAGGGATTATATAGACAGATTGTATGCTAAATTATGCAAATTGCAATAACTAGATGTGATGAACATCTATCGATAAAAAACTTATTAATAAGTATCATCCTTGATATTTACAATGAGTAGAGAAAATAATAATTTTGTTTGTTTTTTTATAGGAGAATTCTAGAAGAAGAATATTGATAAGCTAAGAAAATGAACGAGTATATTATCATAGTAATTTCTTTATGATAGATAGTTTGTTGCGTCAACGGACGCCATCTGCTTGTGTCAAGTAGGATTATCTAAGTGGTTCATCTTACCTTTCTAATACTGTGAATCATTAGATATATTTTTTGCTGTTTCGATCTAGTAATTATCTTATTTCTGTTATAGAACTTTATAAATAAATAATAGAAATTTTTTTCTTCTTGTATTGAATTCTACAAGTCGAAATTTCAAGGTCATTATAGTAGACTTTGCATCCATTTAAGAGATATTTACAGCTGACTGAAAGATTGTTCTTGTCTTGCGTTCGTTCGCTATTGATTCGATTATATATAAACTGCGTTTTCTGTAGGCGGAAAAGACACGTCGACGAAAGACAATTCATTATAAAAGAAAATAACAACAACGATGGACTTTATCTTTCTTTGTTTGTTGTAGATCCATATGTATTGACTTATTTTATAGGAAACAGTAAGCAACTATATGGTTTTGTTTTTTTATATATGTTATTCATCATATTGAATATAGATAGAATAAAACATAAATATGAACGTCGGTATAGCACAAGGCGAACGAAATCCAAATAGTTCATGGCTAAATAGTCGTGGTGTTTGGCTTACATATGTAATTCTTCTTTTTGTTCTTCACTTTATTTTACTTAGTATACCTTATATAACAACACCTGTAGCATGGACTTTAACAACAACTATTCATAATATTGTATGTTAAGAAAAGCCAAAGTTGTTTTTCTTTTCGATTGAAATGATTTATTTTATTTTTTTAGTGTAGCTTTTATTTATTTCATTTGATCAAAGGCGCTCCATGGGAAACAAGTGATCAAGGTTTAGCACGTCGTTTTACATTTTGGGAACAAATTGATAATGGTGTTCAATGGACAGGTACAAGAAAATTTCTTCAAATTGTTCCCGTTGTCTTGTAAGTTTTAACTATATGTAATGATTTTTTTTAAACTAATTTTTCTTTATATTTAATTAGATTCTTCATTGCTAGTTTTTATACAAAGTATGACAAAACGCATTTTATAATTAATATGGCAACAATGCTTCTTGCTGTAATACCAAAATTTCCCATTTTTTTTGGTGTACGTTTATTTGATATAAATCGTTATTAAAAAAGAAAGAAAAATAACAGATAATTTCTAATTTTACATGTATTCAAGGTGTGAAAACTTTTTTTTTAGTTGAGATTCTGTCTTAGATTTAGACAGTAAAAGCAATACCTATGTTTATGTCAGTTCAACCATCTTTTTTCTTATGTTTCCTATTAATCTTGCAAAGATAAAAGAAGGAAAAATGAAATAAAATATTGTCATTGTGTAACATATGTTGGTATTCATGAATATTTATCATTTATTTAAAATAAATAAAATGATTAAATTTGAGTAATAATAAGTTGATTTATTTTGATAAGAGAATGTATTATAAAATATGCTTTAAGATTAACATTCGAAATGTCATATATTTAAACGAGTTTTTTTCATAAGGTCATGGAATAATCGATTCATTGAATGAAAAAGAAAAAAGGAAATTCAAGCCTTACGGATATTTACAGCAATAATAGCAAAAATAAATGTTGCTTTTTTTATTGAAGTTATTGAATTTAGAAACGACACGTTATTAAGTTGTCAAAATTCATTCGAGTATAACCTACATCATTGTTATGATAATTCAAAACAGTCTTTTTCATTTTTTATTTTTTAGAATGAGCATACATTTGACAATAGTAAACTTTATTCTTGTTCAATAAGCTTAGAAAACACTTTTAGATGTCTACACTATTTCATAGATACGTTCATTCCATTCATGTTTAGTTCACAAAAAACAATAAATATAAATTTTAAAAACGAACAGTGTGCTTTCAGACAAACAATCAACGAAGACATATTTCTAAGTTTTGTTTAGATAAACATTGATAATTAATAAGCTGTTAAGAACAGTTCTTGATTCTTTATTTTACACTTTTGTTCAAGTTTAGTTTTACTTATAAAAACACTGATGCGAACTCTTTTAATATATACTGTATTTAATACTGAAGATTGTTCAATACTTGTGTGACTCGATATATAAAAAAAATCACATTTCCTTCAGTCTATTTCTCGACGCTTTCGAAATTTCCATGTTTCTAAGACTAATTAATGCTTTTTCGATTAATATCGATAACATTGATGTTGTTATAACAAACATGTAGAAAGCACTTAATACTGTTCTATCTTCAGTACATATTAGATTACAGATAACATCAGAATTTCCGTCAAATACATCAATCGTAAACATAATACGAATATTTCTAGTCAGTGCAATGTTACGTCTAATTGCATATACAAATCGTAGGATAGGTAAGGTAAAATGAATAATATATCGATAGATTGTTGTATAAATAATTACCAATAGAAATAATAAAATAACATATGTCAAAGCAAGAAAATAACATGAATGGAGTATTTGTTTCATTGATATAAGATATAATTTATGTGGATAAAATACAATATCATTACTAAGAATACAATGAAGTAGTAGGACGATAAAAGCAAATGTTTGACTAACAATCAGAACGACATTACATATACAGTCTAATAAAAATAAATATTTTTACAACACAGTGAACAGTAAACAGAACAGTGGTCGAATCAAATAGGAATAAGCTATTAGATCACGACTAACATAGTTTAAATTCGACATCATCAATCTGTTTGATGCCTTTCAAAATGAATGAAACAAGTATTTATCATTGTTATAAGCAAATAAAAAATTGTATCTCAACATATATTTTATACAAAATAAATTAATTGAAGAATATTGAGTTTTTTTGAAAATAATAAAAATAATAATACCGAAGAATTGCAAAATAGAAATAAATACTGAAGATAAGCCGGACATCAAGAAGACTATATAATGCAATATTTATTCCATTCAGAGACATCTTTAATTGCCTAACAAATTGTTTTTGCCTGTGCTTATGAGAGAAGTCCTCGAAGTGATTAATTATTCTTCCGTCGACACTATGTGCATCATGTAAACCATCAAGATCGATGATTATCCTGAAGAGTGTTCGAGTCCTTAGCTTATTATAATGACGATATTGCATTTTTACGGTATTTTTCAATTTCGATTTCAACCTTAGCACACATAGAGGTCTTAAGAAATGCGAGCGATGTAAAAGACACTTCTATCACAGCTGTATATTAGGATAGAAACAGCGAAAAAATCTGAAAATTTTACAAACGACCTATTCTCATGAATGCCTAGCTCTATGCAAAGTTTCAAGTCGAAATTCAAGAATAAATCATGCTATTGTTTTGCAGGAAAGCTATGATATTCATTTAAGAAACGCCGTAAAAGTGGAGTATGTTAGTAGCAATAAACCAAAGGACTAAAACTCTTTTCAGAATATTCATGGCTCATTAGGATCTAAATGATGCACGTAGCCTCGACTAAACAATGATAAATCAGTTTTAAGACTTCCCTTATTAGTATAATGATATTTTTCTGAGATTCAAAAGTTTCTTTTATATGTATGATGTGTCAAAGATATTGTGATTAAAGTAAATATATAATACTGTGATCATTATATAAAAAGAGAACAAAAGAAATGATAAGAGTAAATATGTATGTCTGTGAAGAAAGCAAATAGAATATTCGTAATGAGCACTAACATAAAAACTAATTATTTGTCTTATAAAGCTGCTTTTCAAAAGACTTGCCCAAATTAAATTTGTTTATTGAAATGCTTTATAAATAATGCGTTGAAATATATTGTATCCTAACAAGTATTGTATCATATTTTCATGATTTTAACTGCAATATCAATGACTTCCACTGTCTCAGTTTCGAAAACGTAGTGTTTTTTTCTTCCAATACTTTTTAAAACATTAATCTAAATCGTCTTTTCTATAAATCTATGACAAATCGTTGTTTCATCAAAAGTTATTTGTTTAGATTCGATAGAATGATTTGATAGTGTGCAATTTTGTTATATGCTTGAACGGATAATAGTATGATACAATATAATGAATATATAAATGTCCGAAATACATCATCAAACAATTTATTATGAAGTAATCAATAAGAAGTATGCAACTAAATATATCATAATGAATGAATAGCGTATCATTTTATGAACGGAACAATTTTTCAAATGAAAATTCGTCTGTAAAATTTTTGAAAGTTAAGAACCACTAATATGAACATAATATCTCAATTAATCATCTTGCTAAATATTTTCCATGCCGACTTTTCTACTTTTGATACACATCTTTGATCTTTTTTCTTGTCAACTCGTACATTTACAAGCATTATCTTCTTCTTCGTCTTCATGCTAATTTGTTTTTCACTCCTCGTTTATTTTTTCTTTGAAGTTAATACACTCTATGCAGGAATGGTCATCGATTAAAATCGGAAGAAGAAGACAGAAGTGGCATTTTTTCGTTTGTCAAAAGTCATGCTCGTCAGCTGTCATCAGCCGAAATACAATTGTTTGTTCTTTTCTCTCTTTTCTTCTAATCATGAGTTTATTATGTCGCTTGAAAGTTCAATTGTTTTATTTGTCAAAAGCTTAAAACACCATCGTTTGCACAATCAATCAATCAATCCACCTTTGGAGTGCGCTCGTTTTATAGACAAATAAAGAATGCATGTCAAAAGACGATAATCACATCAAATCAATGCCTTTGCTTTTTCTTTTTACGCTTAATCGCTTAGTCAGTTGGCTTCAGGGCATATTCTATCTTTTTTCAACATCAAAGAATTGGAGATTACCACCTCATTTCCGTCTATAAGAATCAACAATAAAATCAATGAATGACCGCACTTTTGTCACATTATCATCGTTGGAAAAAAAGAAAGAGAAGGAGGAGAACGACCATATATAAACTAGTGACAGAACATACTTTAGCTATCATTGAACATGATATCAACTTCAATTTGTTGTACATCTGACTATTATTCAAGTAGTGATATTGAGTATGATGATGTTGATGAGGTAGTCAAAGCTGCTCCACAACATCTTTCTTCAATAAAAGAAACAAATATTATTCTTCAAACACTTTTTCAATATCATCATTCACCGTCTTTGATTTCTTCTACTATTAAATTTCAACAATCAATGAGATTATTCAAGGTAATAATCAATATATATTTATACTTTTGTATTTTTATTAATAATTTTTGATTAATAGTTAGTTCAAGAGAATCACTTATCTAATGAAATCTTCATCCGAGCTAATGCTATTCTTCACAAACTTCTTCTTTCAATATGTACAAATGAAATAGATGAATCAATTCTTATTGCTTGTTTATCGTTAGCAACAAAACTAAATGAACATTCTACTCATTTGAACATAACACTTTTCAGTAGTAATTCATTAATAGTAAGAATTTCTTTTTTATAATTTTTTTTTGTGTAATTATAATTGTAATAATATTTAGACGAATGAAAACTTGATATGCAATACACTTGATTGGGATATTGATATAATAACACCGATCAACTATGCTGAAGCAATTCTATTACATGTGCTGAATTATTCCATTCGAGATCGTCTTCGACAATTAACTTATGAATTGATTGTGTTATGTTTAACTGGTAAGACTATTTCTGTGAGCACGATTTGCTGTCCATTGATTACATAAAAAAATTTACTCCAATTAACGTTTTGCTCGTGTGAAAGTTTTTATTTTTAAGAAGAGAAATGAGCAAATGACTGATGTGGATGTGACTGCCATTGAGCGAAAACTCAAACCTACGCTACCCATTTGACTATTTCTCTTCTTATAAATAATTAACGAAAGTAGATCTTCACACAAGAACAACGTTAATTGGAATATATTTTCAATGCAATCAAAGAACAATAAGTCTTGTAAACAGACTATTTCATATGATGATAGTTTAACATGTTGTCGAACGTTTAGATATTCGTTGTATGGATTTATCTGCTTTATCAATGACAATAGCTTGTGTATTGATGGCGTGTGAAATGATAAATTGTTGTGAAGTAATTCCGAAACAAGTGTTCGAATATGAACAAGAGAACAATAATTTATTCGAGGTATATTTTATTTGAATGAAGTTTTTTTTAATCTACTATTGAATCAATTTTAGACATCGTTAATTTATGTTCGTCAAATTCTGATGAATATTCTTCGTCAATAGTTTATTGTTGTCGTTTCAAATGATATGAAAAAAATAATATATATATATATATATTAATGAACAGTTATTATAATGTATATTTATTTTTAAGTACAAATTTATTTATTTATTCATTGTTAATGTGTGAATAGTTTTCATAGAATGTTTATTCTAGTTCTTTTGGATTTCATTTCAAATATAGGACACAATCTTAAAAACATTTAACACATTCTTGCATCTTTCTCCGAATTCACTCAAAGAAAATATCTATTAGAATATTTTTCATGAACAATTTAATGGAAGTAGCCTTTCAAAATTGAGTAATGATATATATGAAAGGAATGAACAAACTATTTCTGCCATGTTCCATATACATAAAATTTCATACTAAGAGAGTCGTATAATCAATAATAATCATAAATGGAAAACTAAGAAAAAGTTAAATCAGCAATCAATACTGACAACAATATAAGATGAGGAATTCAATAAATATGAGTTTTGATAGAGCAGGTTAGTTCTTCTATATTTAGAAGAATTTTCTACTATATCATCATAAATGAAACTCCTATAGCTCTTCACTGAATCGCTAATATTTGTTGTTCAACAAAATATGTCTTGCTGTGGTTTCATTATATAAAAAAGACTCAAATGAAAGTATACATCGCACTGTAGAATTTCTAAAGAACTAAGATGACTGGAATAGTGTGACTCTGTGACTAAATTTAGTATCATCAAGTTTTTTCACATTTTAGAAAATATTGGAAAGAAATATGTAGAACACGAAGAAACGATTTCTCCTTCTTCTATTTATTAATTGTGTTTGCCTAACGAGGGAACGTTTTCAATTGATCAATCATTTTCTTGCCACAAGCTAGTGGATTGTAGGTTATCGATCATGCTAGTTTCGAATATATTTATAAGAAGTCTCTTTAAGTTTTCATATACTGATTTTCTAGAAATTCGGTTTTGCAGACTAACAAACTTCTCGCCGAAAATTCTTTCTGATCTATCAAGATGATAGAGCATATGGCGTCGCCTAGAAAACAGTAATTTTTCTGTTTCAGATCGTTTTCTTGTTTTTTTGCAAAAAATACAGCCATTGTAATTCATACAACAGATATACACATTAACATTCCAGTGTGAAAATCTTCCACATGACATTGTTTTTTTCTTCAAAGTCATTTTTGGAAAAAGAAAAGATTATTATCTCATAGACAACTCGATATGTTCTATAATTTGAGTAGATCTAAACGATTATAGCAAAAATATTGTTTTATTTCAGAAAACTGCCGCATAAAAATCTAAGGAGATTTGTGTAAGATTTTGATGAGAAAAAGATAGGTCTTTTGAAAATGTTCCCTCATGAGATGAATTTAATATCATATATGGGACTGGTCTGAATTCATACCGACACTGGACTGACGACTTGTCGTACTATTTCATCTATGGATAATGGTATTTGAGATAGTCAAGTTTCAACAGAGTGCTATTATACACCTTCTATGAGATACTAAAAGTAAAAAAGTCAGTAAAACACATCAGGACCAGTTTCATCTCTGCTTCACACGATACTTATTCTCTAGTTTTTGACTATAACGCATTTAGAATCATTGTTTACAATAATACATTGTGAATACAGTTTAATTCATAAGAAAAGCTAATCTAAACTTGATCTATTCAAAATGAATCTTTATTACACAAATAATATTCAAAAAGAAAAAAAAAGGGATGAAAGTATTGACTAGAATGAATACGTAATGATTAAGCAACAATAATATCAAATTTATCTAACTTCATTTCCAGTTCCTAGTATGTCATGTATATAACCAAAAACACAGAGTTGATCATCGAGTATTTGTTTATTAATAATACTTATTGATTCATTATTTAATTGTTGTTGATGATGATATAATAACATAAGTTCATAAAGATGCCAAAGAGATGGATTTGTATAAAGTTGTAATTCTTTAGCTTGTTGTGGTAAACATGTTGTTGGTTGTAATTGTAAAGAAAATAAAATTAAAATTTTAACAAATTTTATTGAAAGATCAAATATTTGTTTTTTTATTGTTGGTTTTATAATATGAAAAAGAAAACGTGATAAACATTGACCATATGATATAAATAATGTTAACCAACATAAGCCTGGACATTGACCATTATCAAGTTCCATTTTATGAAAATTTTCATTATCATAAATAAATAATTGAAGACGATAAATTGACAAAAGAAATTTAATATATTCATCTAAATTATCATTTTTATCAAGATAAATAATTGAATCAAGATGTGTTATAAGTACTGAACAGAGACAACGTTGAGATGATCTTTCATCTGTAATCGGTACAGAACATAACCAATTAGGTTCATCAGGTGATGCATCAAGTAATGATAAAATAATGACAGTTAAATATTGATATGGATCTATATGTTGTTGTTCATCAAGTAGAGAAATAAGAAAAGCACAAAATGATTTACGCCGTTCGGATTCATGTGATGGACGAGTTTTAAACTGAAATGTATAAAGTGTAAGAATACGGTTGAATAAAGCAAATGAATATTTATTTGTTGTTGAATGAGATAGATAGTATTTAAGCATTGTTAAACATTGACCTTTAGCTGTATAATAAGTTGTATGATGATCAGCTGGTGGTGGAAATGGTATTTGACTACTATCAGCAGTAGATCGTTGTGATGATCCATCATCCATCGGTTCAATTTCCTAGAAAAATTAAATGATAATTGTTGTCATATATCGTATAATTATAATCATACGAGACATAATCAGTAGACGATTTCTTTATTAATTTGAATCGAATCAGGGAAATCTCCTAACGATTAATTGCTTTTTGAATTGACATTATCTCTCTCAGTAACACTAGGATTATTGATTTTCGAATTTTGAATTGAAAATTTTCTTACAGACAGATATTAACAAGGATAGTTTATTGTGAAAGCTTGAAGCTTTTTGATTTGCTCCTTTGTGAAACTAAGAATATCGAATTTACTAGCATATAAGAGCGATGTAAACGACACGCTTTTTTCATAGTTATATCATAGGATAGGAACAACGAAAAGATCTGAAAGTTTCACAATAAACTGTTCTGATTAAGATCTATCTCTATACAAAGTTTCAAGTCGAAATTCGAAAATCAATTATCTTGATGTTCCTGAGGAGGATCATGGCATTGATTTAGAAAACACTGTAAAAATTAAATGTTTCCCGCAACAATAAGCTAAAGATCTAAGCTCTTTTAAGGTATTTAGAGGTGACCAAGGTCTGCATAATGTAAATAGTCCAGACTCCAAAATGATTGATTGGTTGTGGAACGTTACTGGTAAGTCGAAATAAAATTTTTCTAATATCAATAGGTTTACAATGCTTTTTAGCGATACTTCAATGATATTTCTCGATGAAAGGAGAAGATGCAGTAGAAAGACTCTATCTTCCTCTTTTATTTTGCCTATGCTGTGTGCTTTCAAAATTTGAGCAGCAATACAATCGCTCGACTTTGATATGGTTACAAATCAAGAAATAAATCTTTTTTTCAAAAGAAATTATCCAAACTTGAAAATACAGACAAACACCTTTTTTCGGATGAATGAAATTTTAAAATAATTTCTCTGTCAGAAATACATGAATCAAATTAAAGAATAAAATGGTGTGTCTGTGAAAATGTATTGAAACCATCTTTGAACAAATTTATAATCTCTGTTAATCATTGAAAGCAATCAATTGAATTTGTTTTCGTCTAAACAATATAATTTTTATTATCTAAACATACTTGTTGTTTTTTAATTGTTGATGTATTTTCTTGTTTATTTAATGATTCCGTTGATTTAGTTGTATTTGAAAGGAAATGTGAGCAAGCATCAAGTATTAATATTAATTGTTCATATGTTAAAATTTGTTGTTGTTGTTGTTGATCATTATTATTTGTTGTTATTCGATTTTGTTGATTATTAAATAACTGTAAAATATTATAAATCATTTGATAAAATGCAGTCATTGTTACTAAATCAATTCCAATAGTTAAATCTTGTTGTTGTAATTTCATTAATGTAGAGTTTTGTTGATGAAAAAATATTAAATCAACTAATGTTTGCCAAATATGTTGAGTTATTGATTGTGGTCGAATTCGATCAAGTATTATTTGTAAACTTGATATAGGCATTGTTGATGAATCAATTGTACGTGTACGTAATAATTCATAAGCTGAAAACTGTGTTAATTGAGTTTGAAGAAGACGATAATGGTTCGATGTTGAACTTGTTAATTGCTGTTGTTGTTGTTGACAATTTATTTGGGGTTTATCAGTACGAAGACGTGTTACTTCGCGTAAAAGACGATTACTTGTTTCTTGACTTTCATGAAAACGTATTTCAAGTGTATGATAACGTGTTTGTAATTCACTACGTTCACGTTCATTAAATGTTAATTGAGATTTACATGTTTCAAGTTGAATTTTGAGTCGTTGTTCACGAGCACTTGCTGCTTCGT